TAGTTATAAAATAACTTTAAACAAAATACATGGGAATTAAGATTTTCATCTTAATGATGTATGTGTCACAGTTGTGCAAAATTTAGGCAATTAGCCTAGTTAAAATCTATCACAAGTTTGGTAATGCAGTACTTGCTGAGACGTATTGCTTTGTATTAAAATTATTTGGCTTGGAAAGGATTATAAAGTAAGAGAAAGTATGACTAGGAAAGAAGAATAAAAAGCAAAGGAAGAAGACTATTTCTAAAGTACCGCTCCTTCTGAAGAACAGACAATTCCATTAATTCAAAATAGCTTTAGAAGTGAATAAAACCCAAATCAGATCATGTAAGATATAGTATGATATATTGTCATTGCTGTTGACTACATCTTGGACTAAACATTATATTGTAAACAAATTCCTGCACAGTTATAATAATTTGAACTGCCTGTCTCTGTTGGGTAACTTCTTGAAGGGCCTAAAACCAAGGAATGCCCGTTAATCCATCCTGAGACATTCATTTCAAGAAATGTTGTACAATGTACAGTGGATATTGTAAATAACAATAGATATTCAGAAAAATGGATAATTATTAAACCTGTCTAAAAATGCTAAGCTTTAAATACTTGAAATGTGTTGCAGGGGGGACATTAACACCTACAAGTAAATCTGGCAGATATAATTTAGGTAGCAGACAGTGTATAGTGGTAACTGGTGTAATTTCTGGTTTTATGGCTTTTTCGAACACACTTCTGTTTTCTGAAACATTTACCTGCCATGGAGGAGTTTTCTACAAATGTTTTATAAGTTTGGGGTTTGTTTTTTAAGTAATCGGGGAAAAATTGCTTTGCATTTTGTAATTGTCAATTTTTTGTCAGGTGCATGAATATTCTTACAAAAAAGAGACTATTGATGAAGATTTGTGTTTTTCTTACATAGAAAGATTAAAGGACCTGACCAACACAGTGCTGCTTTGCATTTCCTGTGCTTGCCTATGGTACAGCCTGCAGCGAGACACTGTAGATCCCCCCTGGTGTAGATGTGCACTAGAGCAAGAGCAGGAGGAATTTTTTGCTGGCTGATGTACACTGCTTCTCTGAATAAGCTAAAAATAAGCAAAGGCTGCCTCAATTGACATTGTGATTTTTAATGCCAAGTTGATATCACCTGAGCATGTGGAGTTTTCATGGCCAAGCCAACAAACTGTTGTGTGGATTTGGCTTCAGTGCTGCGAATACAGCTCTTGTTATTTATAATCCAGCAGGACATGAATTTTCCTGGCACAATAATGGTGACATGGTGCTGGAGACAGTGCAAATACAGGGTAAAAATCAGCACCTGCTGTCACAGGTTTACAGTCAGAACAGACAAAACACAGAGAAACTGAAAGCACAAAAAGGTGAAAAGCCTCATCCAAGGTGAAGCAACTGTGTCTTACATTGCAGGTTGAGCTCATGCCTGAGCCCAGGGCTGTGCTTTATTTAGTCATCTACTTCTCTGCAATTGTGTCCATATTAGTGAAAATTAAACATTTGTGTCAGCTACCAGGTGCTGAATAACTGAAAACTGTGCAGAATAATTTTCTAAGGAATTAGCTTAACAGCTCTGGAATGTTCACAACAAAATGCACGAGTGGGGAGCCAGAGCACCTGTGGCTCACTGCTTCTTAGCTCAGACCTTGCTGTCTCTCCTCCACATCTCATTTATCTCAGCATGGGATAAAACTCAAACACATCTGAGAAAATTAACAGTATCAATGGTTTAGAACTAACTTTGCAGTATAAACTATTCTGTCTGACAAGCAGAGCTGAAAAACTCCCTAAATTTGTCTTGTCCCTAGGTTGGACAAGAACCTTGGGTGACATTGGTCTAGTGTGAGGTGGCCATGCACATGGCAGGGATTGGAACTTGATGATCTTAAGGTCCTTTCCAACCCTAACTATTCTCTGATTCTATGATTCTCTGATTTTGCTATAAGTATTCTTAACATTTTAGATAGAAGATCCAGTAGCAAATAGGTCCTAGCACCATTTAATGGTCGTCTATGGCTGTTGCTGTCTGTGGAAGGGGTGTAAAATGGGAGCATTTTGTCTCAGATGAGTAGTTACCTAAGGACAGACATAAAGGTCCTAATGTAAATGAGAAAGAAACCGTAAGAAAAAAATTAAGAAACTAATATTACTTATGATTATAAACTTCAATATACTGAGGATTGAACCCAGGATAGATAGCACAAGTGCCTTTTATCTCAGATATACTCTCTCTGGAGCAATGCAGATTTTGCAAGGCCTGTTACCATCCAAATATTCTCCCCACTGATTAAAACCAGTGAGTTCCTGTATCCCATGGGTTTTATACTTTCTGCATTTTACTAGTTTTTGTAACACAGTCCTGAGGCAAGAATGGATTGAATAAATTCTTTTGTGGTTTTGCCCAGTGTGACTTTCAAGTGTTTTAATTTTAGTAATGCTTTGCCAATCTGTCTTATTATATTCATGTTTCTGCTTTTCCTTTGTGAAATTAATATGTCAAAGGTATTTAACTTGCATTGTGAGGATGTGAGCATACATTGTGAGAACGGATATTAATTAATATCTGTCTTAATAAATGATAGATAGCACATGAAATATGACTGCAGTAACTATGAGCTTGTTAGATGCCAGGGAAAACTAGCATAGAGGTTTTATCATAATGATCTTTCACTTTATAAAAACATCCTATATGGATTTGAGATCCTGCTGTTCGATGTAGTGTGATCTGGTCAGAAGTGAATGATACATATTCTATGCAAAAAAGATGTTCATTAGTTTGATAGAAATACTAAGTCCTTTGAGACCTCAGCCTCACAGTTGGAGTGTACAGATAGGAGGGGTTAGCTATGCTGCTGGAAGACGAGAGAAAATTGCTGTGCTTTGCGTTGGCAGTTCATAGTTCAGTTAGAGTTGCCCCTGCTGTTAGAACCAGTGGACTGAAGTGTTTCAGTAACCTGTGCTGCCCGTGATTTTTATACAAATGAGCTTAAGTTGTCTTTGTGGAGGGCTAGGGCTTACTGATTGTGTTTGACCAAGCAAATGCACTGTATTATGAAGAAAATGAACGCTTGAAGAAAGCTGAAACGTGGGCACATGTTGAAAAGCTGATTGCTGCCTGGAGGAATGGCAGCCACAGCAGGGGAGGAGCAGGCACGCAGTCAATATTATTCAGCCACTTTCTAACACACGACTGACCTAGTTTTCCCTATTGGGACAGGCGTAGCCAGGCTGGTGTGAACCTTGGGCTGATGTAGACTACTCGTGGGAAGCAGACCCTGCAGCACTCCTTCTCAGGCTTACTGATACAGCTGCAGCTGCAATTTTATGCTTGCAATGCCTAGCTCCTTGCCTGAGTATCAAATCCATTATCCTGTTTTACCTCCTGTGCATTTAGGGCTGGTGTTTTGGCTGTATACTTTATTACAGACTTTTCCTAAATAATTTTATGGGGCAAAAGGCAGCTACTGTTCCCATAGCAAATTCTACAGACTTTGAAAGAACTAAATGTTCTGAAGGGGTCTAAATGTTCTTTGTCAGAGCAACAATAGCCTGTTCCTAGCCCAACCTTCACCAGACTTCAGTTATTCATCAGTACTGGTCCACTTGAGGCATCTCACCAAAACTCACTCAGATTGTTTCACAATTTTGGCTTTTCATATGCTTCATTTTGTGTAATTTTAAACTACCTGACATTTCATGTCAGTAAAATTCTAAGCTTGGTGGAGAAAGGGTGGTACTTCATTTGCAGTAAGGAAACAAGTTAGTTAAAACTGCGATTTTCAAGGAATCTTAACTAACCCAGCCTAACCTGACTGAGTTGCAGTAAGACTTTCAGCTTAACAGCATTTTAGATTAAAATCCCAGCCTTAAAATACACTTATGTGACCTCTGAGAAACTGCCTAAAGCCTATGGTTTGAATTTATTTTGTCAGATAACCAACATCTTCCTATAGGATGAATGGGAACTTGCTTTCTTCTGATCTAAATGTTAATTCAGATGGGGAATTAACTGGGAAAAAAAAGTAAGTAGGAGAATAAAACTGTTCAAAATTACATTAGTGGTAAGGAAATATTTTCAGTGAATAAATATATTTAGCTGCAAGTCCTAATACTACAAGTTAATCATGTTCCTTGTATTAGTGTTAAGGAAGGTATTTCTTTTGAATTTAACACAACATGCAACTGTTATGTGCAGTTACTGTCTGAAGTAATAACTGCAGTTACCCAATAATTTTTTAAATATTTCCACTTTTCCAGTGGAAAATTTATGATATTGAGGGGAGCTGAACTACTTCTGGGAATATTTACTTGCATCAAAAGTTTCTGCTGTAAGCCAGAGGCAGCGTCCCATTGCAAAAAAAAAAGTACAGGGTTTTTTTTTGTTAGCTCCAGTTCTGTTCTGCTGAAGTCCCTCAGGTGTTACAAGACTTGTACTTTCTCTTGTACTTTTTGGAAAAAATACCTGTATGGAAAGGGAATATTTTAAAATTCACAGCAGTTTTCACAGGAGAGGAGTACTACTTTTTGATTAATAGTGCAAAGAAAATATGCATGGCCCTTATCTAAGCTGCTCTGTAGGAGACATTTCTGTTCAAGTACTTGTTATTTCAAAACCCAAAAGACCGTATTTGGTTTTCATTTATCAAGGTATTTTACATAATTTGTTCAGGTACTCAAATATTTGTCATAACTTGATGATTTACTTATATTGTTTGTGGTCTTTCTAAAGTCATAGCCCAATTCAGAACCTAAGATGTGCAGAAGTTATATCAGATAGTGTGTTGTAGGTTGACCATTTGGTATTGATCTGTGAACTGCCTGGAACATTTCATTATGTTAACACCACCAGCCCTCTCCCTCTTAATTTCATTGTTAATTTGGGAAGCTCTTTGGTCTCTTTACAGCAGACATCTCGACATACTATGCTTTCATGGCTTTTACTGTAATTTCTATACTACACAGATACATTTTTTTTCTTCTCTCCTCAGAAATTTTTCCAAGAGATTCCACTCTAAAAGACAAGTTCATAAAACATTTTACAGGTAAGGCAGCTGCTTGCTCTTAATTTTCATATATATACATATTCTAAGTAACCAGAAGAGTCACATTAATTTTTTTGATGTTCTGCACCAAGTTTAACTTTTGAGAAGTTAAATTGCATATTTTAGGGCTAGGATTCTTTAAACAACCCTAATTACATTGAGGTTTGAGTGTCTCTTTGAATAATCTAGCTTAAAATAACTTTCAAAACATGGTAAGGTAAAACTTACTGTTTCATTTTTATTGTCTTATTGTTGCTTGGCATATTTATTTTCATGTTCATTAATTTTAAAACTTCTCATTGGACTGCATGTATCTTTCAGAAACAGACCTATGTGGCCATTGAAATTTTCACTATATCAGGGAAACACTTTTTGTCTTCTTTCTTACGATTTAAACACATGGACACTTGTTTTACCAAGGGAAAGGTTAAATCAGCGTAAATCAAATTAACAGAAAAATAATTTGCTATTTCAAATGTGAAAGTTTATTATGATTACAGTCAAGCACTTAAAAACGGTTGGAGTTGTATAATGTACTTACCTTTCGGACTCGGTAACTACTGGGAAAAATATTGTACCCTTTGAATGTATGTAAAGAGAGTTATCAACAGCAAGATGCTTGCACTCATTCTTTACTCTCCACTTCCAAATATTCTGTAATTCATAAAAGTGAAGGTCTCAAAGTATGACTCTGCAAATCTGTTGGTGATTTTCAACATTATTGGGGTTACTGAAACTAAAAACTAGAGAACTGGGTGCAGTTGGAGCATGAAAAAGAAAATTGGAAATAATTATGTGTTTCCTCTTTGCTGGAAATTTCAGAGAGTCCTTGGCAAGAAAGAAATGAACTTTTGGGTTTTTTTTTTTGCATGGGGAAGGTGTCCTCAAACCTGTAAGATAAACACAACTTTTAAAGGATCTTTCTGCCAGCCACAGCCTAACAGCATTTACAGGAAACATGCCAGACCCAGCTGGCCCTTCACTCTTAACAGTAAACAAAAGTACTCATGAAGTTTACTATTTCCAGTCCATATGAGAAAGAAATGAGAAGAACATAGAGATTCAAACTATGCTATCCTATGTAGCACAGAAATACTGAAAATTCCTCTTCTGGGAAGGACAGACATAAAGATTTGCTTACATTAGTACTTAATCCATTTCCTTTTCATCTGCAACTTTGCAAAACTGCTCAGCTACCATAAAAACCTCAACATAAGAATCTGGGGAAGCTAAATAATGAATACAGAACAAATTTCATTACTCAAAAACAGCAGTGAAAAACAACCATGAGTTTTGCAAAAGGTGTTTGAGAATACTAAATCATAGAAAAGAAAAAAGAGCAAAAAATACTTGAAGGCCTGGAGCCATTCATTAAATAGATGCTCCTTCTCTGCATGAGTAGTTGCCATCAAAATTGCTGAAATTATTTGACTAACATTAGCTGGAATTAATAAGTAAAGCAGATTAATTTCAAAATTCTTACAGGTTATTTCTTTGTTGGCTCAGAATTTGTGCCTACATCTTTTTGCCTTTTTTTTTTCCTTAATATGCTCTTGAAATCTTCAGTGATGGGCTTTTCTGCCTCTTTTTCACAGCTTTATTGAATCCTGTAATCTGTAGGCGTTTTCTTAAAATACAGCCTAACTTTGGTTTTCTTTATTCTATTCAAACTGTAATCCTGTAATCCTTTTTCTATCAACCTTAGTTAAGTAAACTGTTCAGTTATAGTCCTTACTAGTTCAAGAGTTAGAACATTCTAAACTAATGAAGTTGTGAAAAAGCAGACAAGGGGAAGCCAACGTTATCTTTACAGTTTCAGGGTTGAGAAAATTATTGTACACTTTTAGTATGCCAAGAATGGTAGACGCATTTTAAAGCTAAATAAGAACCATATGTAACAGGCCTCAACTGTAGGAAAAATCATAAATAATCTTGTGACTCATAAAGCTATCTATCAATTCAGCTTGAAAAGCCAGCTGACACGGGGTGCTCTGTAAGACACAAATAAAATTAACAGCCTATTTTTGATGGCAGGGAAGAGAGTGGAAAACCATATATTATCTGAAGGGACACAGAATTTACTTAGTGACAAAAGCTGATGTTATCTCCATATATCCTGGAAAATTTCAAGTTGCAGACTTTTTCTTGAGCCTAATTGCTCCCTCAGATAAAAAATGGCAACAATCTTCTAGTTCAAAGTTGCAAAGGCTGCTTTGTGAGTCTGCTGAAAAGCTTATTTTGTGGGTGAAAAATCTCATGAAATCCACATCCTACTATAAAATCTGTGTCATGTTCAAGTGTATTCACTGTTATAGAGAGGAATCTTCTCTCAAGCTTGTGGTCATTTGGCTCCACTATCCAGAGACAGTTGGCTTGGTATGTTTTACCAGGCTGATAACCCACCTTACAAGTTGTGAAATAAGTAATTTTTGCCCAGAAAAGCCTGTCTTCTTCTGACAGCAAAGTTAGTTAACACAGAGTATTTCCTATGGATCCTTTGGTAGCTCTGCTTTAAACAAGATCTTCATATTCAGGGTTCCTATTTGCGCTGAATTTAGAGGATGCAAATAAATTTAGTCTTGTTCCGTTGTTGTCAATTTATGTCAGTGTTTTCTGTCCAAATCACAGGAAACTCATCCTAATGGTAGTATTGCTAAGCAGGTTACATGATGCGATTGCTACATTTTTTCTCTCCTTTCTAACTTGGATGCCATCAATAATACCTTCCCAGGACCATCAGCAATTACGGAATGGCTCTTTGGCAATTTGTTACCTTTGAGCCATGTTTTGGAGACCAGTAGCTACATAGTATTATCAAATATTAACACAGACAGGTGACACTGTATGTCCAGAGAAGGAAGCGCAAAGATAGCACATCCTGGGCACGCAGGAGTTTGCCTGACCCAGACATTAACATGCTGCCCTCTGCATGCCTGAACCCTTTCTTTTTAGGACTGGTTTAACAGGAGATCAAGTTCCTAGATGTTACTCAGCTATCTTTTTTTTTTTTTCCTCAACACCCACATTGTATATTAAGAACTTCATAAACCATCTATGTGCAAATTAGAAGTGTTCATACATGAAACTACTTCATCTTTCCAGGGCATGGAAACTCCTATTTGTTTAAAGTATTGCATTTATTTATCTTTAGAAATAATACCCACATTCCATCTACATTATTCCTTCTGAATTAGACCACTGATGTCTGCTGAGCAAACTAAACTCCTTTGTAGTTGTACTGTTCTATTTTTCACGATGTAAGAACTTTTACTGTTAAGTTTGGAATTTCAAGGCTCAGTCAGTCCATCGTTTTCAAGGGCCACTTTTCTGTTATTCAGATCATAAGCATAATAGCACAGCAGTAGTATTTCTTTCTGTTATTTCAGTAGCAATGTTATACTTGTGTTGCATCATAACGATTTAAGGTGTAGCAAAAGTCTAAATATAATTTTAGCCAAAAAGAGATTGAACATTAATTGAAGCTGCAAAGCAGTGACACGGAAGGTTTATGATTAACTCCTGCTTACTTTTGGACAGGGCCAGTCACGTTTTCATCAGAGTGTAGCAAGCACTTTCATCGACTGTATCACAACACAAGGGATTGCTCAACTCCAGCCTGTAAGTAGTAATTTAATACTTTACATTAACCAAATCCAAAGCAGATAATATGAGTTTCATTCAACCTGAAATGTTCTGCTTATCTAAAAAGGAGAGCTAAATCCTCAGAACTGTCTCAACTTTATCCAGCACTCAGGCTTAGAAGAGCTATCAAGGCTTATCATAGCCAGGATCTTTTCTTCTTTTCTCTTTAGAGGGGTTTGGTATTTTCTTTCAGGGACATCTTAGTCACCATAGGATGTCTGAAAATGAATTATTTTCTCTCCTGCTGACATGGCTATATTCTGTACAAACATTCCCTGAAGACCTGAACACAGGTTAGCATCCAATCTCTTGCTGTTTGGCACAATTTCTTTTAAGTTTTATTAAAATACTTATCAAGCAAGAGAAGAAAATTGCACCTAAGTATATTTTGTTACCAAATAGATCTTTCCATCAGAAAGCACAGTAGTGGCTCCAAGGGCCATTTGAACCAAGGACACCAGAGAGACAGCAAGTGGGACACTATTATATCCAGTCTGATGATTAGAAGATATACTTAAGCATGGTAAATACGGATTTCCATCTATGTTAATTCTAAGTGGAAAATAAAGTTCAAATAAGTTTGAAAGAGTCTGACCTCAAACTATCTTACAGTCTGCTGCTTAGAATAGCCTCACAGTTAATGAGTTAAATTCCTTCAAGTAAAGTTGGAAGTTGAATCTGGTCTTCTACATCTTGGGAGGAAACTACCTGGTAGAAAGTTAATTGGCTTCACTCACGTTTCCTCTAGAGCTCTGGCTAGGATAAGGTAGAATCTAATTTTCCATCTTACACACATCATTTAATGAATATCCATCAGAGAATGGTATCACTGTGTACAGTGCCTGAAATTCTAGTAGAAAATCTACAATTAATTTTATGCAGGTTTTTGAGGGTATCTGGCAACTGAGATTCATTATTGCTGTGGGTGATTTTGTTTTATAGATTACAAAAGGTGTGCAAGGTTGCTAACAAGATTAGCAATGAGCCCTTTGTGTACACAGTCCTAGGATGTTTGCTGTGTAAGTATAATTTTTCCCACTCATTTTCTTATTTGTTGATCTGTCTAGTGATTTACTCCACGCTTTTTATCAGGTGTGCATACATAAATGTGGTATTAACAGAGTGCATCAACATGCAGTTCTGGCATTGCTGTAAGGACTGACTGGTTCCTCATGGAAATACAAAGAAGCACAGATACCTCTGTAGGTCCCACTGTAATTTCCTACAGTTACACACTTGTGGCACCGTAGTGCATAATTATGTAGTGGGTGGCTTCTTACTGTTTAGAATTTCAAGACGGAGTTTGGTTGGTGAAAGAAAAATGTGTGAGGACTTCATCAACACTTTTATTTCAGGCTTTTCAGAAGAGGGCTTTGTTATCCATGGAAGAACAAAAATGTCTTGATCTCAGGTCTGACAATGGAGTCTTCATTGATAGCCTGGTCATCTTTTAGACTGCTTTTCGTGCCCAAATAATGCTCCTGAGAACTTCTCCCAGGTTAATACCACTTCATGGTGATGAAAGTAAACTGAACATGAAGATGTGACAAAGCTAAAGGCTTCAAGTAACAGACTATGGAAAGAACCAGACTACTCTTGTTTATGAATAGCATGTTAAATGTGTTAATTAAAGAGCATTGTCACTGAAGGAACATCTTCAAGTGAGCTGTTTTCTTGAGTTGTTTGAATATCAATAGGACAGTTACACTCCCAACAGTGATTTGAAAAACCTCACTGGTTATTGTTGACCAATGAAATATATAAAATCAGTGACTTAATTTATTTAAATTTCTTCAAAGATGGTTTTCTTTCACCACCTCCTCCTGACAAATACTGCAAGCTTGGAGTTTGGGGGAGTTGTGTATGTCATTTCTTCCTGCATCAAGACTTCAATTCATACTAATCAAGAATAAGAAAGGAAGAGTAGGATATGAGTCAGTGTTAGCTGATTTGATTTCCAAGTGGAGGTGGGATTCATTTTGGTGGCTGTTAGAAAATGCTTTGAAGAGTATGGCAATATTTCAGTGCTAAGAAGAAATGACATAATTTCTTTCTCCTTTTCTTAACTATTTTCAGCCTGTTTGGCCTCTTGCCTTCCACGTATTGCAGATGGTTTTGAATATATCAGGGACGCTGAACCAGAGGCTGAATAGGTCTACCATTACTTTGTCAGGATCTTCTTTACCTTTCCTTACTGAGGGAAAGAAATCCTTTTCTCAGTCCACTTTCTTAATTTTTTTTTTTTTTGAGGTGCCTAAATTCCCAGTTGTTTGTCAGTGTTCTCTTTCAAATCTCAGTTTTCTCATTTTCTGCATTTTCACCTATTTAGTCTGTTTTTGTCCCTCATCTGTATCCCTTCACACCTCTGGGTTCATGGCTCAAAGTTTCCATAAAGATTTCTTGGTGTTCCAGTACTTTTTTTCCTTTTCTTTCAAGAAGGTGAGTCAAAGATCTGCCTCCATATCCACAGTACAGAAGCATCTATCTCATACTTCCATCTTTAAAATACAAAAGGATCAAAAGTTGCTATGATTTGCAAATCCAGGTGTTCTAATTTGCCTGTCAAAAATACACTCAAAGATGACAGGTGTGGAAGGGAGGGCTTAGATGGTAAGCAATACTTGCAGTTCATGTGTACTGTGTTCAGTTAAAGTTGTTCACTTCTCTCCGTTAAAAATGGAGGAAACATTGTAGGAAGAAGTAGAACTGTGATCAAGTATCTGCATCCCAGCTGCCTCTGTGCTCACTCCCCCTGTTCCTTCACCAAATGGACAGCATCTTTTCCACTAGAAATAGGACAGGCACAGGTCTTCATGTTTACTTATATCCAGTATCTTTTTGTAATGGCAACATTTCCTGAGAAGAATGCATGGCAGGAGTCTCTCTCTCTTCCCTCCGAACAGACAGGGCAGCACAGGAGTTATATATGTTCATCTCTCAAAACCACTGCATTTCTAGCAGGATTCTGTGATTGCTTCTACTTCATCTTCTAGCACAGAGGATGTATTCCTCACCACACTCACGCTAGCTTAGAGAGGGTAGGGTCATAGGTACTGTTTACTGTAAGGGAATTTATCTTTGCTTTAACATTTGAGAGAGTCTTGGAGACTCTCAGTTGCCTTGAAGAATGAGGATCTCCCACTCAAAGAATTGACACCAGTTAGTATTTCTCCTGCATGAACTAAAATATTCTGTGTTTTCCTCATTAAAAAAAAAAAAAAAAAAAGAACTACAGTGCTATTATTCGAATATTTTCCTCCCTGTCTTTGAAGTGTTCGGGTAAGAAAAAGAGACATGGTCTGTTGCTGTTAGAAATGAAATTGCCTGGGAAAAGCCAGATTTCCCGCGGGAGTAGCTGGAGCGGGAGTGGCGGGGGCGCGTCCGCGGGACGTTTCAGCACCATGGATAAGGCTGCCGAGGCCGGGGTGCTGGCTGCTCAGAGCCGCGGCGGCTCCGGAACTGATGTGCAGGAGACGTACTTCCTAGCGGTTGCTCACTATTTTACAGCCTTCAGACATTTGTTGGGTTGTATTTTTTCCAATTCTGATCCTTGCAAATGGAAGTAAAGCATTTGATGAAGCCCAGAATGTAGAAATAGGCACAACTATGGGAAACTTCCTTGTAAGATGCCGCAGCGTGCACTGCTATGCGTTAAACCTCTTAGCATCAATGCTGAGGATTTGCCACAGCAAAACTCATTAGTGTTTGCAGGAGGGCAAGACCCACTGGCATTCTGGAGTTAATCTTAAGATTTATGCAGTCCACAGGAGACTGTAATTTATAAACAGAGTTATACTAAGCACTCTGCCTCTGTGTTTTGAAGCTACTTCTAAAAATGGCATATCCTTTTCTTTTGCAGACTTTTTACCAAGGAGAGAATTCTGATTTGCCAAGAAAGTGCCTTGAAATCTTCCAAGACAGAGAAGACATCTTTTACTTTTTTTTGATTTACAACGTTTTGTTACTAGATACTTTTTATTTTCATATATTTGTTGGACATTCCATATTTGTGTGAAACATTATTTTATTTTAATTTGTAAATTTGTTGCCTATAGTTCAGACAAGCCAATTATTTAAATACATTGTATATAAAGAATACTAATGATATACTGATTAAATGTTTCAACCATATGCAGGGAGTTGGTAAAATTTTGCTGTTTCTCTTGTTCCATTGTATTTACATCATTCTGCTCAGGCTCTTACTTTCATTATTTGCACTAACTTGAAATGCAGAAGTCTATGTAACTGAAATCTGAATAAGCTGTAAGTGGAGAAGTTTTACTTGCCATGGAAGATATTTTATATTATGAAGCTTTGTTAATATATACATATATCTTATTGCACATCAGAAAAAAAATTGCTCAGAAATGCACCTTGCTTTCAGGAACATTTGTATGACTATTCTGGATTGTCATCAGTTGCATTTGTACTGGCACTTATGGAAAGAGTTGCAAATAATGTAAATATAAAGACTGGAAAACTGCAATGCAGTTTTGGTGGAATAAAGGACATAAAAGTGAACTCTTTTCCAGGAGGGGTTATTTAAATTTATTAAGAGGCTAATTATTTAATATAAAAATTGAATTTATCTGGTGAATTTGAAATAATTTTCCATTGAGAACTGCAAACCTGTGGGTTTAGGTTTTTAAAACATTTTATTTTCAAATGATAAACTTTTTTCATATACTTATTCTTCAACTGAATGAGATGCCAAAAAAAGGCCACATCACGCACCTGCTGTAAGTAACAGAAACCTGTGGGGGTGAAAAGGGGGTAATAAAATTGCATAGTAGAAGAGAAAATACTTAAATATCATGAAGCCAAGAGGTATAATGAATGAATTTGACTGGTGACATATCAAGCTTAACTGTTTGGGAAGAATACAAAACACAGTTGCTGCATCTTTCTTACTTAAAATCAAATTGTAATGATAATATTTGCTACCCATTTCTCTCAGGTCTTTTATTGCAACCTTATATGATTGCTTTACAAAGAACCTGGTATTAAGTGAAGGATTTATGGTCAGGTCCAGAGTAACTGACAGCACACTTTCGTTTAGTTAACTGACCATTCAAACCACAGTTCGTATAGTTAACTGACCATTCAAACCAGTCCCCTCAAATTAGATATTGTCTCTGTCCTCCCTCAGTGTGGGCTGCATGAGCACCTTTAACTTCAATGGCCAGCATATTTCCCTCTGAAAAACAGCAGGGAAGCTCTGCCCTGGGATTCCTTGTCAAATAACAAACAGCTGAGTTATTATCCAAAGGGGTTTTCTTTTTTTTCTCTACATGGTTCGGTCTGTTTCAGCACCAAAGGTCTGCTGTGTCCCTGTGGTGCACCAGGCAGTTGGACCCAAAACAGCTGCAGGTACTATAATGTTCTGTCTGGGCAATAGTATAGTACAGCAGCTGTTTCTAACCTGGCTAAAAAGTTGTAGTTATGCTTAACATGGTTGTTTTTCAAACTTTTTGCCACCGTTTTCTTTCAGTAAGAGCAAAGTTTTCAAGCCTTACTGTAATTCACATTGGAGGCAGTATTCATGTTGAAGATAAAGTAGCATTTGCGAAATCCCAGTGTCTTAATGGTGAAATAGATAACCTTGCTTCTCTGTGAGTAACATACTTTGTAGGAGGATTATCAGCCAAACACTTCAGCCAGAGGAGAAAGGATGAGGCTCAGGCTAGGGCTCAGAAGCTTGAAGTGTCTGTCTTTAGGTCTGCTTATGTATCTTTGCTCTGGTTTATTACCAGTTTTTTAAAACTCCCTCCCCTCCTCAAAGGGCTGAAAACAATGAAAGGAGAAGCAGAAAAAAATATTTTTTTCTGACAAGGACTTTTTATGATATCTGTATTCCAGTTAGAAAAACTAATTTGGGGTATTTAATATAATTTTGGGTCTCAAATCTAATGTGCTAAATCAAGAGCTTCACCTTTGTAAAAGTAAATACATCCTCTTCCTATTGAATAGAGAAGTGATGAACTGCCTTTTCAAGCCTACTTCTCTCATAAAACATGCCCTGGCTTTCAGAGTTCTCCCTGCTCTAACTACAGTCTGAAGAGCCATATAACTCATGCATATTCTGCATAGCACTTTGAATGCTTAGGCAACAATATGGGTGAACCCACTCTCCACAGTTCCTTTTCAGATTGCTCAAATGAAGGGATAGAGACATATTGATTTCCTCTAAAGCATGCTTTTAGTTTCATAAAGCAAGGTGATGCTCGCCCACCCAAATTTTCAAAACTTAATAGGTCCATCACCCAAGCTGCCATATTTGCCATTCACCTTAATTTTAATACAGATAGGCCTGTACCAATGTCTAAAAACTGGAATGTGAAGATAAGCTGTGGCAACTGCTTGCAGCTGACTGCACGGGGAACTTAAGAGAACCAGCTCTGCCTACACTGCTGATAGAGCTCCTTTGTGCCATCTGCCTCAGCGCTATGGCATTCCCTCTGTCAGGGAATTTCAAAGAACCTCAGTGTTTCTTACTGTAGGTTCAGTTCCCTGGGAATGTTGTAGAAGTGGTAGAAATTGCACTTTTTTGGTAATATGTCTAATACCTGGACATATCTGGAGTGAGATGGTGCTAGACTAAAGTTAGCAGTTGTCTCTCTGATCCTTTAGGACCTATGGAAATCAGGAACTGGTGGAGTTTAATGTGAGTACTAGTTTGGAGAAAATAGCTTGCACAGAAGTTCCTATGGGAAGATCAAAGCTGCTGCTGAAAATGGCATGACATTCATGTATAGCATGTGCAGGGGGGATGGCTGCAGAGAACAGGATGAGAAACAAGCTACTAAAAGAGACACAGGCACTGAGCAGCTGGATTCCTGAGAGCTACAGCGTCGCAGTTTAGACAGTCATACTATTCTGAGCTGTAAAGAGACAGGAAACTTGCATCATTTAGAAACACTGGTTTGGATAGAAGTAGAGCCACAGGTGGTCTTTCCCTGACCATGCTAGGAACCAAGCAGAGGACACTATACTATGCAGGGAGCAGCATGCAATTCAGTTTTCTTCAGTCTTTTTTCCTCCTATCTTTCCTTTTGGAGATGAAAATACCCATAAAGCTGTAGCTGTTCTGCCAGTTTTAGAAAGGGAAGGGCTCAGACTGAGAATCTCAGCAGATGGTAATGAGAGCCAACCATATCCTGTGCTGCATCAAAAGGAGCGTGACCAAGAAGGTGATCCTGCCTCTCTGTTCTGCTCTCGTGAGACCTCACTTGGAGCATTGTGTGCAGTTCTGGTGTCCTCAACATAAAAAGGACATGGAACTGTTGGAACAAGTCCAGAGGAGGGCCACGAGGATGATCAGGGGACTGGAGCACATCCTATATGAAGATAGGCTGAGAAAGTTGGGGTCTCTTCAGCCTGGAGAAGAGAAGGCTGTGTGGACCTCATATCAGCCTTCCAGTTTTTTTAGTGGGCCTATAAGGATGCTGGGGATGGACTCTTCATTAGGGACTGTAGTGACAGGACAAGGGATAATGGGTTAAAACTTAAACAGGGGAAGTTTAGACTGAATATAAGGAAGAAGTTCTTTACTGTAAGGGTGGTGAGGCACTGGAATTGGTTGCTGAGGGAAGTTGCGACTGCTCCGTCCCTGGCAGTGTTCCAGGCCAGGTTGGACAGAGCCTTGTGTGGCATGGTTTAGTGTGAGGTGTCTCTGCCTATGGCAGGGGAGTTGGAACTTGATGATCTTAAGGTCCTTTCCAACCCTAACTACTCTATGATTCTATTACAGAGGATTGAAAAAAAAAAAAATATCTTTGTAGCCCCTTCTTATTTAAAAGGTACAAAAGAAGGTGGAGAATCTTTGCTTTGTGATGCCTAGATTTTTATGCTGAAGGTTGCAATGCAGAAATTCAGACAAAGTATAGAATAGGTACATTTTTCTGAAAAATCTATGTTTTCACTTGGCTTAAATTATTTCAGTCCATAAGTGAATGATTTTGAAACAATCTGTCATACGCTATTATACAAAGATACAGTAATTTAAGTCACTAAAGCGGTCAGCTTGGCACTTACAAAATAAAGAATATCTGAACTGACTTAAATGACATATTGGGGTAAGGATAAAACTGAAATACCCCCCAGCAATAATTCTGCCATATCACTGCCATATCACGGTAAGCTCTCACATCTGTCCATTGCAAAGCATACTGTAAAGAGAATAATCTGTCCAGCAGAAGAATGTACCTATTCATTACACTTTACTGCATTTCTACTACAGTCCTTTTTCCTGCCTAATTTTCTTCATTGAAATTGTCAACTGCTGTTTGCATAATTAAGAGTTTGCGTTCCTATGGATTTAAATATTTAAAGCTGCAAGTTCTCAAGAGCTAGCCCTGGAGACTCATAAACAAGCTGATACATGTGTCCGTTGGAACTTTCTGCCATGCCAGTGCCTAATAGCAAATATTGAAGTTTAATTTATTTCTTTTTTTTTTATTTTTATTAGAGGATTGAAATATTTTATTGAAAATCACGATGTAAAAGAAACAAAGATTCAAGCACGCAAATGGAGTGGTAAAACTTTTACTGCACCTCATAAGGCTGGGCTGACTGCCATTTTGTGACTGTCGGATTTATACAATCATCACAAACACAAAGCTGCAAAAAATTTCTGGAAGTTAACCCTTTCTCAGAGCTTCTGTATGTCTAATATACAGAGATAGACACATTCATCTCTCTGTATCCATCAGCATTACTTGACAGTCATAGTAAAGCAAAAGTGGTTGCCATTCCTATATTTTTATAATTTCCATCTAAAGTGTGTTTTGGTGGCAAAATTAACAATATCCTTTTATAGCACTTTAATTTAAAAAAATTAGAGCTTATTTCAGGGATAATTTTTTTCTTTTATCTGCTAATTGTCTGCTTTTCCCTAGTAGCTTGGCTAAGTACAGCTAAATACCTTGTTTCCAAATACCAAAAGGAAATACTTTCAGAAGTATATAAGAGAGCTTTCCTGGGGAGAGAATTTCTCTGCACTTCAAAGTAAAATCCCCACTGAGCAAATAAGGTTGTATAAGCTGACTCAGTCTTGAGAGTAATGTATACTTAAGAATATTTTCAAATCAAAGTGTCTTCATCCTTCCTCCCATCTGCTACATATATAAACATTTACCAAACAACCTACTGGTTTATGTATTTGTACCTTGTATCTTACTCTGTTCGTCTATTAAATCCATAGCTTTTACCTTTATCTTTTTATCAATGTACTGATGTAATAATCTCTTACTTAGTAAGTTCATTTTAAGGTTTTATTAGATATTGCTTTCCAACCAGCAGCCAATACTGCTTTCTATTTAATGATCTCTTTATCTTTCATTGGACACAATATATTTATGTTACAGTGGTGTCATGAAAGCACTTTGAGCATACTTTTGTTGTCTGAAACAGCCTTCTAGTGGCAGGTTTTAAGGTTTTTATAATGGGACTTAATATGTGTATGGATGAAAAGATTGTAAGATACCTTTTATAGTAGCAAAATTCTGTGTCTTAGGAGATGTCTCCCATTCCTATATCACAAAGAAAGGCAATAAATGAAAGTACTGACATCAGAGACTGAGGTTTGCAAGATGGGGTGAAAAGGGTCTTAAATTTTGCATACTCTTGAAGAGTTCCTTCATCTCTTCAGATCCTGAGATTAACTTATAT